TTTTTAAAATGTTTTGCTAGATGTTGCCAAACTGCTCTTCATTCAGGTTGTACTGACTGACACTCCCATCAGCAAAGTATGAGAATTGGTGGGCTATTTTTGGTCATCTTTCCCCATTCTCCTTTTTCCTTATTTCATCACTTAACCCCTATATGTACAGTACAGAAGAATCTAATAAAACAAAGATTTATCTCTGAAGCCTTCTCCCAGCATATGTTCTGCATCTAAAAGAAAGTTGTTTTAAGACCTGATTTGCGTGTTTGTTTCAAAATCATCCTGCTCTTCAGCTATCAGGCCTGTGCTGAAACCCAGTGCTCTCCCAGCGCAGACAAGTCGTCACCTCCCGGTCTCCTCCAGAGCACAAGTCCCCGTGTTGAGTTTCCTGAGTCTCGGGCTCACTTTCTAAAGCACTTACTGTATCTTTCCTGTAGAAATTATTTCATTCAGTCTTCCCTAAGGGCAGAGACAATATCTTAGTCATTAATTCCTTTAAATGTCTCTTTCAAACATCTTTTAAATATTTCAGAACATCAATTTCAACTCTTCTAGTCCTCATTTGCTACGGCCTGGAGCCCAACTCCCTACACAAACCCCCCACTTCCCCAGCTAGCCGAGGCTTCGTCAGGAAGGTGGAGGACGTCGGTGCTCAGCCCCTCAGCTGTCGTCCCGTCCTCTCCCTGTCACGCCAGCCAGCGTCCCCCGTTTTCCTCTGTGGCACTGGCATTCCTCCTGCGCAAGGCCACCCCTTCGTCCCTTGAAGAGATGTGCCCTCCCTTCAAGTTCACGGCCACTGCCGTGGTGCCAGGCCCTCATACCTCTCGCCCTGGCTGGTAGCAGTCTCCAATCCTGCCTTTCTCAGATTTGCTCCCCTCGTTATTGGCAGCTGCTTCCTGAAACTCAGCCTCCAACATGCTCTGCCCGGCTAGGGCTCTCGGCCTTCCAGGGCCAGAGGACACTGGCGAGGCTTTTACGACTCGCCCTCCTGCCCCTCCACCCTCCTCTGCTCTTCCCCACACTCCTCGCGCCCTCTCCAGCTGCTTCGCGTGGCTCGTATCATGTTCTTGCACGTGTCCACGCCTTCGTCATGCCATTCCTTCTACCCGGACGCCCCTCCCTCTCTCTTCCCACTCCCTCCCAGCTGGAGGAATCTTCCACGATCTAGTTAAAACTGAAGCCCTCTTGCCCTAACCCGGCAGTGTTGGTGATGCCCTCCTGTGTCCACCAAGCACCGTGGACAGGCCTCCATCATGGAGCCCATCACGGCGTGTTGGCGGTTTACCTGGCTGTCCCTTCCATGCCGTGAATTACGTGGGTCTAGTGGCACTTTATTCCTCTTCGTGTTCCCAGTGCTAGCATCGTGGCTGGCACATAGGGAGTCTCCATAAACGTCCCCAGAATGAACAGGAGGGAAACTGAGGCGTGTTCTGGACAGCTTACGTTTAGAAGGAAGTTTTGCTTCTGTCTTTAAAGCGCAAAGGGAAGTTTTCTTCGCTCGGCACGGATGAAGCGGCTCCGCTTGTCCTGTCCTCGTTGTCCTCTGCACAGCCTCTGCCCACACTCGGAGTCTGATGGGCACTTCAGCCAGGTGTCGGGTCGCTCACGAAGGACACGTGCCGCCCGGTGTCCAGTCTGGGCAGCCGTGTTGTTCTTCAGGGGACCTCCCGTCTCCCGTAGGGTTTCGAACCGGACGGCTTCTCTGAAACCCCTGAAGTTACTGGTAAACATCACCTCGGGCCTCGTCTCCGTGACAGGAAGAGGGGTCTTCCTTCTGTGGCGCCTGTGGGGTTGACCAGGGCCTGTTTCCTTTGGGCGGGAGAAGGTTCTCGGCACAGTGTCTCTAGCTCGGCAGGGACAGACGACGCTGGGCGAAGCCGCTAAAGAGCCACCCTGAGCGTCAGGGCGGTGCTGGGTGGAGGACACGTGTCACCGGCGTCCAGCGGTCTCAAGGCCAACACCTCGTCCCAGGGCTAACATCCTGCCCCTGAGGGGTCCTGCCGGCTCCTTCCCTAGGGAGCCAGCACATGGGGTGGGAAGATGACAGCTTGTTCTTTCTCCTCGTGTATTTTGAGCCCATTTGGGTCCAGAACCATGTGCACGTTGAGATGCTTCTAGGCGCCTCCTGCGAAAGAGATTTTATCCCTTCACTGTGGGCCGGGCGTCTGCCGTGTGATTAACCAGTAAGGTCTGCCGAGTGCCCGGAGTCGCGTGTGACTGGCTGCGGTGTGGGCCGGCCCCGAGGGCTGGGAGCGCCAGGAAGGACGTCTGCGCGCTGAGTGCAGCAGGGCGACAAGGCGGGAGCTGAGTCAGCGAGGAGCTGAAGTTCAAGGTGGGCAGCCCCGTTTCCAGGCAGTCCGATACCCCAGATCCGAGCAGGACTGGCAGCAGGAACGCTGATCCGCCACGCCGTGGCGCTTAGCCGCCAGGACCGCTGACTGCCCCTCTGAGAAAAAGGGCGGTTCGACTTCGGGGCAGTGGCGAATCCAGAGGTTCCGTGGTTCTGCGGGGGGCCCAGAAGCCAGACGGGCTGTGTTCGTGGACGTCTGTCGTCGATCTCTTGACTCTGCGTCTGCTTCCCCTCCGCAGCCCGAGCCGTGCCGCTGCTGCCTCCAGTCCTCCGTCATGTCCAGGCAGGCCGGGTCTGTTTCCTTTGGCCCGTGGTTGTCCCCGATTCCAGGTCACAGCCACGGCCCTGACAGCTCTCCGCCTCCCTGCTGCCGCCAGGGTCCCACGGGCCAGGACCCTGGGAGTCTCGGGCGCGGTGAATGCTGACTCCGCACCCTCGCCGGGAGTCGCGAGCTGGGCAGCCCCGTCACGCCGGCTGCTCCTGGCCGCCCACCCTCCCGACACGCACCCTCAGCCTCTCCTCCCCTTTTCTGCCCTTCCTTTTGGAGCTCTCTGACCGGCCGTCTCCCCAGCCTCTCTGCTCTAGCAGTTGCCGAGTGCTCACTGTGCCAGGCACATCAGCTCAGTTTTAGTCTTACAGAAACCCTGCGAATAGGTTCTGTTATCCTCTGCCTTTTACAGATGAGGAAACTCAGGGTGGTTACAAAACTTGCCTAAAATCCAAAAGCTAGAAGCCGGTAGAATCTGGTTTAAAAACTGGAGCAGAATCCAGGTTTGTGTTATCTTGGAGCCGAATCCTTCTGACCTCTCTCCATCTCGAGAGATCTAAATTTTTCTCCCTTTTCCTGGCCTGTCTAGTGTCCACTAGGAAGAAACTGAAGCAGAAAATATGATTTAAAGCCTTTACTTGAGCCAGAGAGGACAGCTGCCCGGAAGTCTCAGACCCAGGTGACTTTGGATGTGAGCTCCATTTGGCCTTTGTGACAAGCAAGTTTTTAAAGGCAGAAAAGGGGCACAGGAAGTGGGCGGATACAAAGTTGTTTGTCAGGAATTCTCAGGGGCCTACAGGAGTAGCTTTCACTAGTGCTGGGCTGTGCACTGTTAAGCTGTAGGGCGTGGGTTATAGCATCTGGTGCGGCATTATTAGGTTGATTTATAGCTGCTGGGGGCGATAGCAAGCAGTGTACAGAGATGAACACATAGCTCAAAGGAGGGAGTAGGATGTGATTGGTGTCTCATTTTATAGTGTAAGAGGACTTGTATTCCTCAGAGAAGAGTTCTTTTCCTTCTTCAGTAGCAACCCAGGGATTAGTCCACCTGACCAACCCCTTCAATTGAATAAATATTCGTTGACTGACTATAAAAAGTCTTGTGCACCTGTTTCCCTTGCGTCGCACAAGACCATTTTCCTCTCACCGTAATCTCCCTTCAGGAAGTTGAAAGACATCTATTTTTTGGAAATCATCTGTTTTGAGAAGCTCTTCAGTGTCTCTCTTGTACATTTTAAAAGTTATTGCAGGTTAAAATGAGGTTAATCGAGCCTCTTTGATTAATCTCTTCACTTTTTAGGTGAGCAAAGGTTTAGGGAGGGGCAGGAACCCAGGTCTCCTGGCACTTGGTCTAGTATTCTGATACGCTGAAAGCATGAAATTTTATTGGCTTCAGGGGAATTATTTTTCATTTATATTATAAAAGTTAATTTATTTTTTCACAGGAAAGGGATAGGTGGGCTTTTAGCCACAAGGCCAAGTACAATGAGTTGGAATAACTTACAGCTATTATCTCTGCCATATCAAAGTAATTCCTGGGTCCCATAAGTGTTTCTAACCTGCATAAAATTCTCGTACAGTCTTACAGTTCAAGAGTTTTCAGCACGAAATGCCTGATAGATCACCTCACTCTTTTGCCAAAAATAAAGCGTAGCAACTCCTCCTGACGCTGACCGTCTGGAGTAGTGCAGTCTTCCCTACCAAATCCTTTCTTCCTGGGACAGGCTGCAGGACACCCACGTTTTCCCTTGCCTTTGTCAGTTCTTTGTGTTGTAAGGGCAGGATGTTTAAAAGGTGACATCATTGACTTGCAAAATCAGAAACTATTTTGGAGAGCATCTTGTTCCCTAGACTACACAGCTCAGAGCAGCGGTCAGACTTGGGGAGCTGCTACTTGTTATGTAATTCTTCCAAGAAATTAAATAATATTAATAGAATCATTTGTCCAGCGTCAGGGTATGACAGAAGACTTCAAAAGTCCCAGAAAGCTTTTTACCATATATTCACACAAAGTCCCTTGGGAAGTGGGATAGAATTGGTGCTCCCGTTTTTATATATGGAGAGGTAGAGGCCCAACTTGGCGTTAATAAAGAAGAAATGTTAACATGTAGGACGTCTAGGTGAAGTTTATGTGGCAATTCTTTATACTAATTTTGTAACTTTTCTGTGTAAGTCTGAAATTATGTCACATAAGAAGTAAAACTTTTAAAAAATTAAGCAAAGAATATCAGTGAGTATTCAGAGAAGCAGTAAAATCTCCTTTGCAGTATTTACCTGGTTGCTTTTCAATCTCCGAGGATGCAGCAGTCTCCGCTTCCCAATCCACAAGTCACATCAGCTGAGAATACCGCTAACGTTGGGGGCGTCCCCTCTCCTGTGTCTCCCCAGGCGCAGTGACCCTGCAGGCCGACCCCACTCGTGGCACACGACCAAACCCGGGGAGAACCAGCCGGATGCCAGCATGATGCAGATATCTCAGGGCACGATCGGCCCTCCTTGGCACCAAAGCTGCCATTCCAGGTAGGTGGCTGTAGCTGAGATTGGGAGTTTCTTTCTAATGTCATGTTCCCGGAAAAGAGCTTTCTGCTCTGTTTTGAGAACAGTTTCTCACACTCACCCCAAATATTAAATCTCTACCCACTACTTTCCTCATCCTCTTAACATGCCCAGTGTACGAACGAGTCATCCTCACGTCTGGGGCCGGATCAACTTGAGGGCCAGAATTATCGGGAGCACTGGCTGGCCAGTTGAGACATTTCTGGGGCGCCCCAATTCTCAGCCAGACATTTCTCCGTTACACATTGGACACTGTACTATTAATAGAAAGGCTGACGTTCCTCTTCCTTTAATACTGACGTGTCCTTTCTGCTTTAGTCAAAATGGTATCTTTTTCATCTGAATGATTTCATTCATGTATTTAAACTCCCCACCTGGTTTTTCTCCCTCTAGGAGGGTAATTTGTCCAGCTTAGCTCCAACAACACAACTAACATCGTGAGGACTGCTCAGTGCATACTCTATCTTGTGTAACCTTTCATAGGCTTCTTTAAAACAGGTACAGTATTATTAGTCCCATTTTGTAGAACAAGACATTGAAGCTTGGAAAGATTAATTTGTCCAAGCTCAAACAACTGATCAGTACCTAAGTAAGGACAAATCCAAGCCTGGTTTCAAAGCTGTTGCATGAAACCACCAGGTTATACTTCCTTTGCTCCTCTAGTCACTGCCGTAGCTGTCAAGGTTTGGTCGGGAGAAAGCAGAGCCACTGTGAGTGTCGTGGGAGAAGGGATTTATACAGCAGTCAGACCTCACAAAACTGAGAAGGACCAGAGAGAAGGGAGCCAGCCGGACCACCTAGACACAGTAAAGAGAGAACTAAGGCAGGACTCTACACTTAAAGGCTTGGATCCCGTGCAGACTGAACCTGTCCACTGATCGCAGGGAATCAGACTCCATAGCTTATCACTTTTGGGAAACGCTTGGATAGGGTTAACGGTAGGAAGATGGAAAGGTCAAGAGAATAAGTTGCACTTAGCTCTTACCAACAAATGCGATGCAAGGGTTGGGGGGGGCGGGTGTGCGCGCGCTCGGGGGAGGGGAGGGCAGGGAGACAGGCAGCTTCTGGAAGGATTACTTAACTAACAGGTGGTGGCTGTGCCTTGGCAAGGCCAGGACTCGATCAAAGCCCTTAATGCTCATGTCTGGTCAAGTCAAGGCCAAATCTTAGACCTCTCACCGGTGGACTGTGGCTGGTGGAATGAAACAGCACAGACCTCTCTCGGCGTATCTGGGTAGGCTTCAGGCCATAGCAAGAGACAGTTTCCTGGTTACCCTCCTTGTTACAGATAGTCCTCCTCCTTGGCTGCGTCCCTCCCAGCCACCCCGAAAGAACGTGTGCTCCCCCTCTGAGCCTTCTGTTCAGGGAGCAGCTTTGCCGGCCGTGCCCCTCAGCCCCCCGGTCCGCCTCGGTGAAGGCAGACTGCCTTTGCTTCTAGACAGCGAGGTGTTGCAGGCCTTCGGGAGGAAAGATGTGGGGAATCTAGCAGTCGGAAGGAAGAGTGGCACGGTGGTAAGGTGCTCAGGCTGTTAAGTCAGACCTAGGTTTAAATCTCCACTTTACCACCTACCTCGTGAGCTTGAGCAAATCCTTTCAGTTCTTTGATCTTGGCTTCCTTTCCTGTAAAATGAAATTAATAGTACTTACTATTGGATTAAATGACATAATATCTGTGTAGTTTCTGGTACATAGTAAGCACTCAATAGATGACAACAAATGATAATAATCAGGCTGAAGGCTTAGGGACACCGTGAAACCTGGTAACGAACTTGAAGGTTAATGGCATAAACCAGCACATGCAATGGCAGGTGTGTATCAACCAAGTGCCCCTCAACAGTGGGATCCTCTCGAGCCTCCTGACCCTCTCATGACGCCCTAAATCGGAAGTCATCCCGTGACCTAAGTACATGCCGGGCCTACAGCAGGAGGAAGACTACTGCATCACTGCCTAGAGTAACTGCTTGCAGTAACCGCGGTGGCCGGGCTGGCCCCAGGGGAACGGTGCGGTCGGCACTTCTGAAGGTTGCGTGGCCCCGTCTCCCACCCGTTCCCCACCCCAGAGGGGTTCATGCAGGCGGATCTGCCCTTGTGCTGTGTCTTCCACTCTGTTCCTCTGATCCGGGCTTCAGAATAGTTCCTCCTGAAACAAAGACTATTGGTACAAAAGCACCATGTGGGGACAAAAGGAGGAAGAAAATCTCAGTTTACCCAAAATGCTACAGATGTGCATACCCTCTTCTGCCCCAGCACACATCAACCTGTGACCTGTGCATTCCACGCCTCAGGTGTGCGGCCCTGGCAGAGGGCTGCCCCCTGACTCTGGGGTCCGATCGTGGCAGCTGCGGAGGGAGACGCGCTCCTGGTGTGTTTCTGCAGCGCACAGGGGCATCTAGGGGTCTAGTGTGCCAAATCGGCTGGTCGGGGTCCCTCTGCCAGCCTTACTTTAGTTCCAGTTCCAGTCTCAGTGCTAAATGTACAGATCTGTTTCTCACGAAGAGGCAGGAGTATGAGGGAGAGGGAGGGCAGTGAGGGGCAGGAGTGAGGTGAGAGGGAGACAGAAGTAGAGACTGAAGACGTGGAAATGTAACTGTCTGCAAGCTGGGTTGGATCTGGAATTTCCCTGAAGTTGTATTTCAGCTGCTTCCTGTCAGACCCTTGTCGTGGTCTTCTTGCTGCGCTACAGAAATCTCACACAGTGGTTCTAAGTACTGACATACTGTAGAAGAGACCTAGAAAAGTCACGTAGTCTGGCCCCTGACGACCGGCTAAAACGACAGTATCGAAATACTAAAGTGCCAGTACTTAGTGATTCATTCATTCAACAAATGTGCGAGTATGTCTCAGATGACGTCTGGGTATCGGGAGTACAGTGGGGAACAAGCCATAAAAGGCCCCCACCCTATAATACTTGTTTCCCAAGTGTGTTCCACAGAATAATCATCCGTTAAATACCTTTTGGAAAAAAGTTTCTAGGGTCAAGTAAGTTTAGAAAACATTGCTGAGTTTTCCCTTTGAGAACAGCACATGAACAATAGAAGTCTTGCAATAAATAAAATTAACTTATTTTAGCTCAGTATTTTCCAAACATACTTGATCATCTCAGGAATTAATGTTCTGTGAGTACACTTTGGGAAATATTTTCATACGCTTCTTTTGCATTCTTTACTATAAGTATTGAAAAATACTTTAAACACACAAAATAGAGTAAAATTGTAAGAATACACACATCTACCACAGAGTTAACAGACAATTCATATGTGCTTCAGTTCTTTAAACATTGTAGATACCACTGAAGTCTCATGTAACCAGAGGGGTCTGATGTCATGTGGAGTAGCGGTAAGTGCTATGAAGAACATAAAGCAAAGTGACAGGGACTAGGAAAAGAAGAGATGCTCTTTAGTTAGTTCCAAGAAGTCATCTCTGAAGCAGAGATTTGAATAAAGAAGGGAGTGAGCCAGGTAAAGAGCATTCCGGGGGTGGAAGCAGCAAGTACCAAGGTCCTGAGGCAGGAATATATTTCACAGGCTTGAGTCAAAGTAAGGAGGCCGTCTTGCTGGAGTGCGGTGAGCAGGAAGGAGAGCAACAGAAAACGAGTTTGGAGAGGTAGCCAGGCTGTGGTAAGAACCTTGCCCACTCTGGAGGCATTCCTCTTGATAGGAAGGCTGCCTTTGTGTGGCTTGGGACTGTTTTCTGAGCTGTTCTTACCCATCATTAACAGTGCCATCTTGAGCCTAAGCAACATAGCAAGACCCCAGCTCTACAAAAAATAGAAAAATGAGCCCCACATGGTGGTGTGCACCTGTAGCCCCAGCTACTCGGGAGGCTGAGGCAGGAGGATCGCTTGAGAGCCTGGGAGTTTCAGGTTGCTGTGAGCTGTGATCATGCCCTCATGCCCAGCAACAAAGCAAGACCCTGGCTCAAAAAGAAGAGAAAAGGAAAGAAAGTGCCATCGTGGAAGCAGGAATGGCAGAGGTGGTGATCAAAAGGAATATTTCCAGACAGGGGTAGAAGAACTTGCTCCTAGAGGGTGATGTCACAGCCAGTGTTCCTCAGCAGGCAGTTGGGAACAGGAATTCTGAAGGGACCGAGCCCTTCCCGGGTAGCAGGAGAGCACCTGACAAAGGCCCCACATCATGCCTTCCCCTGAGATTCGCTCCAGGAGGGAGCCCACCACATCCTTGCATCGGTCTGGCTACAGCTACGTTAGTGATGACATTTTCCCCACTCAGAAGTGTTTCAGTTAATCATCAGTTTATTCACTTTGATTTTGTGTGTGTGTGTCCCAAGTTAGGTTTGAATTATCCTTTTGGCGAAAGACTGCTAAAATTCTCAGCAGTTGGGAGGAGGGTTAAGTAGTGTTTACTACGTGCATAGGATTAATTGATGCATGAACAGCCCATGTGGGATCTACTGCGTCCGTTTCCCTGGAAGTGTTAGCCCTGAAAAAGCAGCACCGTGGGCCACATGGGCTTGTCCTCAGCTATGGGTCTACTACTTTTTCGACTCAACCCTTTTATTTAGAGGAAAAAAAATATGGCTGTGACCTATGCCATGCCATTGAGTGCCAGGTCTGGTTTCTCCGATCAGGCTGGCTTGGGAGCTCTTCCCTTCCTTTCTCCCTTGAATCACCTGTCCCTCATAAAGTAGGGTGCTCTGTGCAGCAAGTGGACTTTCTCTGATGGAGAAAAATTAC